GCTAGCATAAATACTATATAATGTGACCACCAGTGCTACTGAAACAATGCCGCTGATCTCCAAATTCAAGGATATATTTAAAGGTGGATCTTCGGCCAAAAAGAAAAAGCACTTTCATAATGTTCGGCTGGACAATCCTGAAGAGTTCTGGGAAATCATTGGAGAGTTGGGAGATGGAGCCTATGGCAAAGTTTATAAGGTAAGTTGTGACACCAGTCTCAATAAATGGTTGATTTTTTAATTCAGACTTCAGATCGTCTTTCATTGGCTGCGAGTGTCATAAAGTGCACAAAAGTTATTAAAAGCTATTCTGCTATTTATACCTTTTAATTTTCTGTGATGTGCAACATCATAAAAAAAATAGTAAATTTTGTTATTAATTTTTTAATAAATCTCAGTTACCAAGTTATGAGGGGTCTTATTGAGTAAATATAAGCTATTTTGTCTTCAGTTGGTAATTTTCTAGGTTATTTATATCCATAGAAAGATAAAAAGTGGTGTTATTAAAAAAAAAAATTGCAGATGACTTGCAAAAGTTTTTTTTTTTCCCCAACAAGTTGGCCGTCTCCCACCGAGGCAGGGTGACCCAAAAAGAAAATACTCTCGTCATTATTCAACACTTTCACCTCACTCATACATAATCACTGTCTTTGCAGAGGTGCCCAGATACAACAGTTAGAAGCATATATATAACATATCCCTCCAAACTGCCAAAAGTGCTGTGGGAATTAAAAGTTAGGGAGTGTATTTGGATTTTTTTTTTTTTTTTTTTTCAACAAACCGGCCGTATCCCACCAAGGCAGGGTGGCCCAAAAAGAAAAACGAAAGTTTCTCTTTTTAAATTTAGTAATTTATACGGGAGAAGGGGTTACTAGCCCCTTGCTCCTGGCATTTTAGTTGCCTCTTACAACACGCATGGCTTACGGAGGAAGAATTCTGTTCCACTTCCCCATGGAGATAAGAGGAAATAAACAACAACAAGAACTAGAAAGAAAATAGAAGAAAACCCAGAGGGATGTGTATTTTTTTTTTTTTTTTTTTTCAACAAGTCGGTCGTCTCCCACCGAGGCAGGGTGACCCAAAAAAGAAAGAAAATCCCCAAAAAGAAAATACTTTCATCATCATTCAACACTTTCACCACACTCACACATTATCACTGCTTTTGCAGAGGTGCTCAGAATACAACAGTTTAGAAGCATATACGTATAAAGATACACAACATATCCCTCCAAACTGCCAATATCCCAAACCCCTCCTTTAAAGTGCAGGCATTGTACTTCCCATTTCCAGGACTGAAGTCTGACTATATGAAAATAACCGGTTTCCCTGAATCCCTTCACTAAATATTACCCTGCTCACACTCCAACAGATCGTCAGGTCCCAAGTATCATTCGTCTCCATTCACTCCTATCTAACACGCTCATGCACGCTTGCTGGAAGTCCAAGCCCCTCCCCCACAAAACCTCCTTTACCCCCTCTTTCCAACCCTTTCGAGGACGACCCCTACCCCTCTTTCCTTCCCCTCTTTCCTTCCCCTATAGATTTATATGCTTTCCATGTCATTCTACTTTGATCCATTCTCTCAAAATGACCAAACCACCTCAACAACCCCTCTTCTGCCCTCTGACTAATGCTTTTATTAACTCTCACACCTTCTCCTAATTTCCACACTCCGAATTTTCTGCATAATATTTACACCACACATTGCCCTTAGACAGGACATCTCCACTGCCTCCAACCGTCTCCTCGCTGCTGCATTTACCACCCAAGCTTCACATCCATATAAGAGTGTTGGTACTACTATACTTTCATACATTCCCTCCTTTGCCTCCATAGATAACGTTTTTTGACTCCACATATACCTCAATGCACCACTCACCTTTTTTTCCCTCATCAATTCTATGATTAACCTCCATCCTTCATAAATCCATCCGCCGACACGTCAACTCCCAAGTATCTGAAAACATTCACTTCTTCCATACTCCTCCTCCCCAATTTGATATCCATTTTTTCTTTATCTAAATCATTTGATACCCTCATCACCTTACTCTTTTCTATGTTCACTTTCAACTTTCTACCTTTACACACATTCTCAAACTCATCCACTAACCTTTGCAATTTTTCTTTAGAATCTCCCATAAGCACAGTATCATCAGCAAAAAGTAACTGTGTCAATTCCCATTTTGAATTTGAATTTGATGTGTATATATACATATATATGCTTGTACATGCATGTGTAGTGTGACCTAAGTGTAAGTAGAAGTAGCAAGACGTACCTGAAATCTTGCATGTTTATGAGACAGAAAAAAAGGACACCAGCAATCCTACCATCATGTAAAACAATTACAGGCTTTCGTTTTACACTCACTTAGAAATATTTGCTTTATTAACAGTTCAGAAATGGTGATTTTGGTTATGGTTTCATATGATTTGTCAGTCATTACTGCATGCATGGTCTCTCTTACCAGTGTGAATGATTTAATTTTAAATCCATATTTTCCTTTTGAGAGTACATTGACATTGGTATATTTCCAGGTTAGTGGATTAGTAAAAGTATTTGCTGTAAAATAGCATTTACTGTACGAGTGATTGAGCTCAAAAGTTGTTTATTTTTTGCCAAATGTACGATGAGTATGAAGATAATGCACCTTGAAACCCACTCAAAATTAAATGAAAGAATTATCTAAGCTATTAATAATTAAATTAAAATTCTGTGCTGTACAGTACTGTACTTTAGGTTATTTGATATCACTTCATTACATAAAAAATATCAGCAAAATTGATTGGTAAATTGTCCTTTAACATTGTGGAGAAATAATCTGGAATTTTAAGTTATCTTATCAAGGAAATTTTTATAACTGCCTCTTGATATACACAGTAAAAATATTTTGAATTATTTCCTGATGGAAACTCCAATGGCATAAAAAATGAAAGTGAAATGTGCAGAAAGTGGGGGTAACTTTATTTTGGCTTAGTGTATTTGTAAATAATCATGACCTGTACTGTACTTTGATGCCTGGATGTAGAAAATAGCTATTGCTTAAAGATATTAATTTTAAGAGAAAAATTCAGTATTGATATGTAATGATTCACTACCTTATTAGGCTAATTTATTATGAAATATTTTATCGTGATTATTCTGGGCATCTATGTACAATATAACCATATAGATGCATGACAGTTATAAAGAGTACTTTCCCAGCTCTTCTGGGATTGAGCTTTTTGACCCCAAACAGACTTGATATCTCCTGAGCATTTTTTTTTTTTAATTCATATTTCAATTGTGTGTGTAGAATTTGCTCACAATGATTTTGTTGTGTATTATGTTAATTCACGACCTTCATACTGACTTGTGGTGGTGATAAACATAAAAGACAAATCAAAAGTAAACTGTCAATGGTTGGACAGTTTTTTGAACCCAAGAATTTAACCTTCTGTAAAGATTGTACTGGTTGATGTATACATTGAGTAATGTCTTGTTAATGATGTTGTGAACAGTTAGCAAGCAGGGTATTCATATAAATTACCCTTTTACTTAGCTACTACAGAATGTTTTGGCACCTATTTACTGTTTTCATTGTCTAATTTTTATGTATTTTATATTAGCAGCTTTCATTTTACAGTATTACTTTTATCTTCTTTAGGCTGTACACAAAGAAACAAAGCAGCTTGCTGCCCTCAAACAAGTTGCACTGGAAGAGGAGGAAGATCTTGAAACTTTCATGATAGAGATAGACATTCTTTCAGAATGCAAACATGAAAACATTGTAGAACTGTTAGAGGCTTACCACTACAATGGAAAACTTTGGGTAAGTTAATTTATACACTTAATTTTGATGTAGATTTTATGACTTGGTATGATGTTAGTGTGAATAAGATAACATTTATTTAGGGATTCAGGGAAATCGGTTAGCTGAACTAGAGTCCTGGAGGTGGGAAGCATAGTGACCGCATTCTGAATGGAGATGTTGTAGTTCGGAGGGGCATCTGAATTGTGATGTCAGTATGTATTCTTATCAGAGGTGTTCATACATCTCAGTTCAAATAACCCTCTGAACTGCAACATCCCTATCACCTCCAAGACCAAATTCTCTGTATTCCTTCATAAATGTTACTTTGCTCATACTTAACAGCATTTCAAGCCATAAAACTCGCTTGTTTTGACTGCTTGATCTGTTATGCTTGCACAAGCCTGCTGGATGCTGAAGCCCCTTGTACTCAAAATTTCCTTTACCCTTCTCACCAGCCCTTCCTGGGATGATCCCTACCCATCTTTTCTTTCACTCCAGAGTTTTATACCCTTTTGGTCAACATATTCTGTTCCATTCTCTCTAAATGCCCAAGCCACCTGATAAAAAAAAACGTTAGCAAAATTGAATTAGGCTACATCCCACCACTGGTTTTTCCTTCCCATGTGCCACATAAAATATGACATGTTGCCTAATTTCATGCTACATTTAACATAATTAATTATTCACTGATGGCACATTAATATAAAATTGTTGACTGCACTTTTATTTGAACCATACCATAGAGAGGTTTCTGTATTGTAGCTTTGCTTCTGTGTAGTGATAATATACGAGGCACTGAGAAGAAAACCAGTGAACTCATTAGTGAGTGTAAATTGCATTTTCTATACTAAAATGTTCATCATTCAAGTATTGCACACATCACTCATTTTGGCGAGTTCATCATTTTTACCCTGCCTTTTCCCATCAAAAATAATGAGATGTTTGGGTATGTGATAATGTCTAAAAACAGTAATTTGGTTCCTGAGAAAACTGATGAACTCTCCATACCACCTTAATGCTCATTGAAATTCGCCTCAAAATGAGACCAGTTTGACCAAAATTGTATGGTATGTTACTTAGATATTGTTACAAGCATGTTTCAAAAATTTGTAAGCAGTTATCTCAAAAGTGACATTTGGCGAGTTCATCGGTTTTCTTTTATTGTACTAGTTTTATTTTCTATGGTGTTCTGTCTTCCAAACTTGCTTGGATTTTTTTCTTCAGATGTACCTGGAATACTGTGATGGTGGGGCCATGGATTCCATCATGGCAGATCTTTATCGGCCTCTTACAGAGCCCCAAATTGCCTACGTTTGTAAATATCTTGTTAACGCCCTTGTGTATATACATGAACAGAAGGTATGTAATATGTGCTATGTGGTTTTGTTACAGTTACTTTGTTACCCTTCTCCTTGGTTTATATTAAAGCAAAAAGGAAAGAATACCTGGAATAATTTGAAATTTATATTTTATATTAAACAAAATGGAAGAAACTTTGTCAAACAAATCTGTTTAAATCTGTGCAGTCAGTTTAAGGCTCATGATACTTCTTTTTTGTTTTAAAGATTATAAAATTTAAAAAGCCTTAATTTTTTATATTGTAAATTAGAAAATATTACTTGACACTTTTGTAGTTACTTATACACTTACAAGGTTGATGTTTTGTGGTATGTCAGTGTTTGTTGTGCTGTGTAGTTTGTCTAAAGATTTGTATTACATTTTCTAATATTTAGTGTCCTTCACTCCAAACTTTTTGGTTGTAATATTTTTAACTTTATAATACATTTTTTATAGATACGATACTATGTCAAATTGAAGTAATCTTTGTTGCCAGGTGATACATCGAGACTTAAAAGCGGGTAATGTCCTCCTAACAATGGAAGGAGGAGTAAAACTAGGTATGTATGTTAATTTTGTTGAAATTAGGGTTATTTTGCATCATTCTTGTTTAATTTATTCATTAATTTGTAAAACTGAAACCCTTTCCGGTAGGTGTAAATTCAAGAATTTTCAAGTTCATTGAACTTTGGTTTCTCAAGGAAGCATAACTAAATGTGTGAAAAGGGGGTATTTTTTTTTTTTAAAGCATATACAGTGGACCCCCGGTTAACGATATTTTTACAATCCAGAAGTATGTTCAGGTGCCAGTACTGACCGAATTTGTTCCCATAAGGAATATTGTGAAGTAGATTAGTCCATTTCAGACCCCCAAACATACACGTACAAACGCACTTACATAAATACACTTACATAATTGGTCGCATTCGGAGGTGATCGTTATGCGGGGGTCCACTGTATTCTAATATTTTGGTCTGAGATGCACGTCTTTGCTCATACCATTTCCTTTGTTAATATAAAACTTTTTTTTTTTTTTTAAAGTACAGCAGAGTATATTGACAAAACTTGGTAAAGTACAACCCTGAGAAATGGTGTAAATCACCTCTCCCATGGTTAGTTCTGAAGATGAGGTTCTCGTAGGTATTTCACATCCATGTCAGTTTCAGATGTTCTTTAGGACGATTGTTACTATAAGTTTTCCTCTGTTGAATACATTTTTGGGGGGATGAATTTAAGAGGGATTATTTTGAAAAAAAATTCTTCAGTCATGCACCTCACCTTAAGTCTTGCTCTTCTCCTAAAATCTCGTAATTATTTTCGACAGTTGTCGCCTTTCCCAAATATTCGTAACCTACCATATCAAGTCCCTGATCTGTCCTCTCGTACATTTTTTCTGAAATGTTTTGCAGCAAACGAATAATTTCTATTATGTACACAGTTATGTAGGTTTTTTTATTAATCTTGAACATGTATGTACTTTATGGCTTAACTTTACCTTTGTTAGCAGAATATTTTGTATCTCTTGTTACATTGGAAAAAGCATTTTCAGGCAAAAATGTCATTTTGAATATACTCTTCATCGTACTTGGTGATGCTTTGAGTGTTGTATAATAAATGCCATCAAATATTTATTTACATAAAGCTAACACTTTGGTTAGTTTTATAGTGATAATTTAAAAAATATTTGTGATAATGTTGGATAAGATTTTTATTTTCAGGGCAGACAAGTCATAATTCTAAAAGATTTAAATGTTGTGATAATTTCCTTTGAAACGTGCACTGAGAAATGTACATATGTATGGTAATATATTTTTTTTTTTTTTCAACAAGTCAGCCGTCTCCCACCGAGGCAGGGTGACCCAAAAAAGAAAGAAAATCCCCAAAAAGAAAATACTTTCATCATCATTCAACACTTTCACCACACTCACACATTATCACTGTTTTTGCAGAGGTGCTCCGAATACAACAGTTTAGAAGCATATATGTACATATAAAGATACACAACATATCCCTCCAAACTGCTAATATCCCAAACCCCTCCTTCAAAGTGCAGGCATTGTAATATAAATATATATATATATATTTTATTTATTTGCAGCTGATTTTGGAGTATCTGCCAAAAACAAAACACTTACGATAAAAGAGGTACCTTCATAGGAACTCCATACTGGTTAGCTCCTGAAGTTATCCTGTGTGAGACATTCATTGATGCCAAATATGATTATAAAGTGAGTATTTTGCAGTTCTGTTAAATATTGCTTTAACCCGTAAACGGTCCAAACTTATGTATACGTTTTTTCAACATTTGAAAGTAAGTAAAAAAAGTAGATCTTCTTTTTGTTTTTTTACATTTGAAAATGTGTAAAAAAAACTTTGATCTACTTTTTTTTTTTGTTATATTTGAAAATATGTAAAAAAAAATGTAGATCTACTTTTGTAGCGCTAAACATATGAACGTAGATCTGCTTGGACCGTTTACGGGTTAAATAAAATATGCGAGTTTGGTATAGAAATGTGCACAATAGGCTTTTATGACTGTGATCGAGATACAGTTGAAAAATGACTAGGTGTTTCTTATTTCTTATACACATTATCCTCGTGTGCTCTGTGGTTGTGATACTTATCCTGGAACTTTTGTATTTCTTTATCATTCACTTTCAACCCTTTTATATAGGTGTGATGCATAGGATTCAAACATTACAGTGAGGAGATAGTGGAGAAGTCATTCTGAGAGAAACATGTGAAGTGAATATTATACAAAGAATTTAATAGGTAGAAGTTAGTGTGGATAGAAGCTAGATAGGCAGAGGAGGGGTTGTTGAGGTGATTTGTGTATTTAGACAAAATTGGGGGGGGGGGGATTTATGCCCAGGATGAAAGGAAGAAAGGGTAGAATTTTCCCCCAGAAGGGTTGAGAGAGGAGTGAAGGTTTTAAGTGATATGGGCTTGAGCATCCATGCTTTTTTCTGCATTCACTTTATATTTCCCTTTTCACATGAAAATCAGCTTCAACCTCTGTAGCTTCTTTCAGATTTCACAATCCTTAGGTGCTGTGTCTTCTTTCAGAGGCATCATTGAACAAATGCACAAACCATTCCATCACTTAATCCCCATCTTTTAGCACTTTAACCTATAAAACACATGGGATTTTACATATAAAAAATTGGGGGAACATAGCTTAAAATTAGAATAATCTCGTTTCTTGACAGCAAAATCACTATGCCATGATGTTCAATTTGGAGCACAGGAAGAAACACAAGGGTTATATGAGTTACAGATTTTATAACAAGTACAGTATTTAAAAATCTTTGTGTAATATATCAGTGCTCAATAATAACCCACAAGGAGAAACTCTGAAGATTAATTGATTTGTATATTTCGACCCCCTACTGGGATCCCCTTCAGCAGATCAGTTAATCTTCTGAGTTGCTGTCTCCATGTGGTTGTGTATTGACAAGTGTTCATTACACTTTAGTTATTCAATAGGCCATTGTTTACTTAAGTGTTTTATTTTTGTTGTAGGCTGATGTGTGGTCACTGGGTATTTCATTGATAGAATTTGCACAGATGGACCCACCAAACCACGAAGTTTCTCCCGTCCGTGTTATGCTCAAGATTCAGAAATCTGATCCTCCTAAGCTCGACTACCCTTCTAAGTAAGCTTCTCTCAAAAATTTAATTATTTAATTACATTTGAAGGTTTGCATCTTGTGTATAAGCCTAATTATATCTTGAATGTGTGTTACACTAACTCAGTTTGGTTTTTAATTTTTTGTTCTTGATGTATAGCAGAAGGCCCATTTTTTTTTTTTGTAATGACCCATTTTTCACTGTGAGTACCTGACCGTATGCATACATGATGTTATGCATACCTGACTATACGCATGCGTGATGGTGTATGTACCTGACCATACGCAAATGTGGTGTGTGTACCTGACGGTATACATGAAGGATGGTGTGCGTGCCTGACCGTATGCACATGTGATGGTGTGTGTACCTGACTGTATGCATGTGTGATGGTGTGCGTACCTGACCATATGCATGAAGGATGGTGTGCATACCTGACTGTACACATGTGTGATGGTATGTATACCTGACTGTGCGCATGCAGGATGGTGTGCGTACCTGACTGTTTGGGGTGGAAGGAAAGAGGGCTAGGGGTCATCCCAGGAAAAGTTGGAGGGAAGGGATAAAGGAGGTTTTGAGTGCAAGGGGCTTGGCCACCCAACAGGTTTATGTGGGTGCATTTTAGGAGTGGAAGCAAGTGGTTTTTATGACTATATATCCTAGGTAACTTTTATGAAGGGAGTCAGGAAACTAGCAAGATTTGAGTCCTGGAGGTAGAAAGTACGGTGCTTACACTCTGAAGGAAGGGTTAGGGATGTTGCCTTTCAGTGCAATATCTGAACTCTGATGCCAGCAAGACAATGATTGACTATGATAGTGAAAGCATTTCTTCTATTTCGAGTCCCCCTACCTCAGTGGAAGATGGTTAGTGTTGTAAAAAAAAAATCAAGACACGAGTTTCTAAAACAGTTGTGCATTATAGCAATTTTTATCTGAATGCGAACTAAGTAGTTCGCTAACTGCTACACATACACAGCTTTCTTAAATTCACATCATTCCTCCTTGAACTTCTTGTTTCCTGCTCTTGTACTGGCCTACCTTTCTTTCAAAAGTTGGCCTCCCTCCCAGTAACGGTACCTCCTTGACATATATGCTGTATATATTTTTATATTTATTTTGATTAGGTGTGTGTATGTGTGCGTTTTTTAGCACATCGGCAGTTTCCATTTCTAGGACTCGAGTCCAGCTATTTGGTTTCCCTGAATCCATTCACAAAATGTTACCCTGCTCACAATCCAACAGCTCATCAGGTCCCAAAAACCATTCGTCTCCATTCACTCCTATCTAACAAGCTCACGCATGCTTGCTGGAAGTCCAAGCCCCTCATCCACAAAACCTCCTTTACCCCCTCCCTCCAATCTTTTCGAGGACGACCCCTATCCCGTCTTCCTTCCCCTACGGATTTATACATTCTCCAAGTCGTTCTACTTTGTTACATTCTTTCTAAATGACATAACCACCTCAACAACCCCTCTTCATCCCTCTGACTAATACTTATAGTAACTCCACACCATTTCCTAATTTCCACACTGAATTCTCTGCTTAATATTTACACCACACATTGCTCTTAGACAGGACATCTCCACTGCCTCCAGCTGCCTCCTCGCTGCAGCATTTACAACCCAAGCTTCATGCCCATATAAGAGTGTTGGTATCACTATACTTTCGTACATTCCCTTCTTTGTCTCCATGGATAACATGTTTTGTCTCCGTAGATACCTCAATGCACCACTCACCTTTTTTCTTTCATCAATTCTATGGTTAACCCCTTGAGGGTCTGTGCCGTAGATCTATGGCTTTACATTGAGGGTCCAAACCGTAGATCTACGTCATGAGCTCAGCTCACTCTGATAAGCTGTGAGCGGTAAATTTTGGCTTTGATATGAGAGAATGCATCTATGTGGTATGTGTGCACCACATAAAACAAATCCTGCAGCACATAGTGCATAATGAGAGAAAAGAAACTGAGACCGTAATTTTCTGTTAAAACAACGACTTTGCGGTGTTCTTTCGTATGTTTTTTATAGATGTATTTGCAATTTCTTGGTCTCATTTGATAGAATGGAAGACATATTACAGAAATAGAGATGATTTTGATTGGTTTTATTACTGGAAATGGCTTACAAGTGAACTCAAAGTAGCGGAAATGTTAAATTTTTGCCGATGTTCAAGAGTAAACAAATGACCTCACACGTGGGTCTAATATACGTTCACAAATGTGCTGATATTTTTATACAATTATTACAATATTGCATAACAGTAAATCTTCTATTTTTTGGTTTAAATAAAAATTCATTATGTGAATAAAAAATCAAAATGGAATTCATTAGTAAAGCCTGAAAACGTAACTAATGAACAGAGGAAATGTTGGTTTATTGCCAGGAATGCCTGCATTGTTTATTCTGTACCCTATTTTGAAATTGGAGTACAGTGGACCCCTGCATAACGATCACCTCCGAATGCAACCAATTATGTAAGTGTATTTATGTAAGTGCGTTTGTACGTGTATGTTTGGGGGGTCTGAAATGGACTAATCTAATTCACAATATTTCTTATGGGAACAAATTCGGTCAGTACTGGCACCTGAACATACTTCTGGAGTGAAAAAATATCGTTAACCTGGGGTCCACTGTATTTTGAACTTTGCGTTAAATTGGCCAAAGTACCAGTTTCTGATCACTTTTTGTAGTTGAAACAGTTGACTTGGCGAATTCTTGTGCTCAATCGATAGAATAGAAGTAATACTAGTGAAATAGTTAAGAATTTGGTCGACTGGAATAATGTAATTGGCCTAAAATGGGAGTCAAAGTCCGCAAAATCGCCGATGCATAAATATCGCTGACACATCAAAATTCTCAAGAGCATAATTTCGTCAATTTTCCATCAAATTTCATACTTTTTGTTTTATTACCTTCAGATAAAGATTCTCTACCATTTCATAAGAAAAAATAAAATTATTTTTTGAAAATTCTTGGACACTGGTGCACCCTTTGAAATTTGGCCTCTCGACCCTGAAAGGGTTAACCTCATCCTTCATAAACCCATCCACTGACAAGTCAACTCCCAATTATCTGAAAACATTCACTTCTTCCATACTCCCTCTCTCCGATGTGATATCCAATTTATCTTTAGCTAAATTGTTTGATACCCTCATCTCCTTACTCTTATCTGTGTTTACTTTCAACTTTCTACCTTTACACACCCTCCCAAGCTCGTCCACTAACCTTTGTAACTTTTCTTTAGAATCTCCCAAAAGTGCAGTATCATCAGCAAAAAGTAACTATGTCAGCTCCCATTTTGTATTTGATTCCCCATAATTTTATCCCACCTCTCTTCCCAACACCCTAGCATTTACTTCTTTTATGACCCCATCTATAAATATATTAAACAACCATGGTGACATTACACATCCCTGTCTAAGACCTACTTTTACCAGGAAGTACAGTGGACCCCCGCATAACGATGGCATCACATAGCGATTTTTCCGCATACCGCTTACTTTTATCGCAAAATTTTTGCCGCGCATACCGATTAAAAACCCGCTCACCGATTTTCGTCCGAGACGCGTCCAATGTGCCCTCACATGTGCCGCCCGTCCCATTGTTTACCAGCCAGCCTCCGCGGTAACATCCAAGCATACACTCGGAATATTTCGTATTATTACAGTGTTTTCGGTGCTGTTTCTGGAAAATAAGTGACCATGGGCCCCAAGAAAGCTTCTAGTGCCAACCCTGTGGTAAAAAGGGTGAGAATTAGTATGGAAATTAAGAAAGATTTTGAAGGGTTTGTGGCTAACCCTGAGAAGCCTATGCCAGTTGTGGAATCCATTGTGCCTACTTCAAAGATTAAGGAAATGTGTGCACAGTGGGTTGAACTGCAAACCTTTATAGATGAAAATCACCCTGACACAGCTGTTGCAAGCCGTGCTGGTGACTATTTCAATGACAATGTTGTGGCCCATTTTAGACAAATCGTAAAGGAACGGGAGGTACAGAGCTCTATGGACAGATTTGTTGTGCGACAGAGGTCCAGTGACTCTCAAGCTGGTCCTAGTGGCATTAAAAGAAGAAGGGAAGTAACCCCGGAAAAGGACTTGCTACCTCAAGTCGTAATGGAAGGGGATTCCCCTTCTAAACAGTAAGAAGATAATGCTCTCCCCTCCTCCCATCCCATCAATCATCACCAGATCTTCAATAAAAGTAAGTGTCATGTAATTGTGCATGCCTTTTTCAGTTTGTGTGTATTAAAATTAACATTTCATGTGGTAAAAAAAAAATTTTTTCATACTTTTGGGCGTCTTGCACGGATTAATTTTATTTCCATTATTTCTTATGGGGAAAATTCATTCGCATAACGATTATTTCGCATAACAATTATCCCTCTTGCACGGATTAAAATCGTTAACCGGGGGTCCACTGTAATCTCCCCTCTCTTCTACACACCCTCACCTGAGCCTCACTATCCTCATAAAAACTCTTTACAGCATTTAGTAGCTTACCACCTATTCCATACACTTGCAACATCTGCCACATTGCTCCCCTATCCACTCTTATCATATGCCTTTTCTAAATCCATGAATGTAATGAATGTATATACAGTGGTCCCTCGATAATCGTCGGGCTCGGTAGTCGTCCTTTTTGGAAATCATCCCGTTATTTTCGTCCAAACATTGGCTCGCAAATGGTCAGTTGACTTGCTAATCGTCGTTCGTCCTGGACACGTACTCAAACCTCTGAGCTGCCTCGGCCTCCCTTCCCAGCCAGTGTGCCATTGTTTACCAGTGAGCGATGGTCCCCCTCACTTGTTCATACGAAATATTTCATAATATTCCATTCATTTTAGTGCTTGCAAGTGCTAAATAAGCTACCATGGCTCCAAAGAAAGCTCCTAGTGCCAAGCCTTTGGTAAAGGTGAGAAATATGATTGAATTTAAGAACAACATCATCGGACAATGTGAAAGTGGCGTACGTGTGGCCGAACTGGCCAGGATGTTTAACAAACCCCATACAACCATATCTTCCATCGTGGCAAAGAAAAAGGAAATTAAGGAAGATGTTGTTGCTTGGAGAAAATTGTGGCTAGATTGTGTCCACAAGAGGATTTTGAAGGGTTTGTGGCCGACCCTGATGAGCCTATGTCAGTTGTGAAATCTGTTGTGGCATTGGGGAGTTCCATGGGGTTAGATGTGAGTGGAGGATGTGGAAGAGTTGGTGGAGGACCACAATGAAGAGCTAACCACTGAGGAGCTGCAAGAGTTTCAGCAGGAACAGCAACAGATCGCAGCTCAGAATCTTGCTGCAGAGGAGGAGGAAGAGAGATGGAAGAAGGTGCCTTCTTCAAAAATTAAGGAGATTTTTGAAATGTGGGGTAGGATGGAAAGATTTATGGAGAAACATCACCCTGAGAAAGATGTTGCAAGCCATATCGGCAACTTGTACAGTGACAGAGTCTTGGCCCATCTTAGGGAAGTTTTAAAGAGACTCCAGAAACAGAGCTCTCCGGACACTTTTTTTGCGAGACAGGACTCTAGTGACTCTCAAGCTGGTCCTAGTGGCATTAAGAAACAGAGAAGTATGTAACCCCAGAAAAGGACTTGGTACCTGAGGTGTTGATGGAAGGGGATTCCCCTTCCAAACAGTAACTAATCCAATCACTCTCCTCCAGTCTTCCATACACTAAGAAGAATTGCCAATAAAGGTAAGTGTTATGCTGTTAATGTTTCATTCATAATGTCCCATTGTATTGTTTATGTACTACATCTATATTTCATGTAAAAAATTTTTTGTTTTAATACCTCTGGGTGTCGGGAACGGAACCCTTTGACTGTTTCGGCGGCTGTATATATACGTCTTACGCGGTACCATGTTTGATGTATATATACTCATAAATTCTAGCGGCTTCAAATCAAGGAGGAGAAAGCTGGTAGGCCCACATGTGAGAGAATGGGTCTGTGTGGTCAGTGTGCACCATATAAAAAAAATCCTGGAGCACAAAGTGCATAATGAGAAAAAAAAACTCCGACCGTTTTTTTTTAATTAAAATGCCGACTTTGTGGTCTATTTTCGTATGGTATTTATGGGTGTATTCTCGTTTTCTTGGTCTCATTTGATAGAATGGAAAACATATTATATAAATAAAGGTGATTTTGATTGGTTTTACTATAAAGAACCTGGAAATGGAGCTCAAAGTAGGGGAAATGTTTATTTTTGCCAATGTTCAAAAGTAAACAAATAATGCCATTGTCCAATAAATGTCCAACTAGCCATTCTAATATGCAGTCATGAATGGGTTGACATTATTTGTACAATTATTACAGCATTGCAGTAGTCTGCATAACAGTAAATCTTGAATTTTTTTGTTTGAATAAAAATTCAAAATAGAAAGCAAGAGTAATATCAGAGGGGCCTGGAGACGTGACTGATGAACAAAGAAAATATAATTTTAGAGCCAGGAATGTCTGCATTGTTCATTCTTGACCTTATTTTGAAGTTGTCACATTTTTTAATTTTTGTGAAATTGGCCAAATTGCAAATTTCTGACCACGTTATTGGGTAGTTGAAATCGGTAAATGGGCAGTTTCTTGTGCTCAGTCGATAGAAAAAACGGAGTTCTAAAGAAATAGCTATGAGTTTGGTTGACTGGAACAATGTAATTAGCCAAAAATAGGGCTCAAAGTGGGTAAAATTGCCGATTTGTAAATATCACTAAGATTGCTAACTTCGCGAGAGCGTAATTCCATCAGTTTTACAATTTTTTTTTTTTGTCATTACAATCGGGAAAAGATTCTCTATCATTTCATAAGAATTTTTTTTTTTTTTTTTTAAATTTTGCGACACCAGGAGACACCTCAGGATTGGGGATTGCAACAGACAAGGGGTTAATTGTATTTATATTATTTCTTATGGGGAAAATTGATTCAAAATAGTGTATTTCGATAATCGTTGCACTTCCAGGAACGGATTAATGACGATAAACGAAGGACCACTGTATGTATGCATGTTGAAAAATATAAATATATATATACAGTGGACCCTCGGGTAACGCCTTTAATCCGTTCCAGAGAGCTAGCCTTTATCCAAATTAATTTTCCCCAAAATAAATAATGGAAATCCAATTAATCCGTTTCAGGCAGCCAAAAGTATTAACAAAATTTTTTTTTTTTTGAAGATAAAATATAAATATACATAAAGAAAACAATGACAAATAAATATAAAGCACTAATAAAATGGATAAATGAACATTTAACATCACACTTACCTTTATTGACTTGTTGGTGTATGATAGACACGTAGGAGGCAAGAGGAAGGGAAGTTTATTATGCTTCAATATGACGCTAATATCATCTCTACGGCTTATTTATCTATCGCAATTCATCTAATATCACAGTGTTTATAATGTTAATAACATAAAAACATGATTATTTTATTCATTCTAGAGTACATATGTCATAATGTATGAGAGGAGTAAATGGTGTAAGTGTTGTTGTTGGGTTTATAAGGGCCACTGAGAGCAGCCATACATGGTGGTGGTGGCACCAGCAGAACCCACCACCACTGTTCACACTTAATGTACATAATTTATAAATAAGAAATACACCTACCATCCGACTTACGACCTGCTCGACTTACGACCACTCAACTTACGACCGTGTTTTTTATGCCAAATTTCTGGGAAATAGACAACTATTTGTGTTGTACACAGTGTTTATCCTAAACCTTACAGTATGAAATACAGTACTAACAGCATAAAAAGTAAAGTAAAACATGAAATACCAAAATAAAACAATATAATAAAGTCATGACAAAAATGTTTTGTTGATATTCAGTAGTAAAGTTCGACTTACGACCATTTCGACTTACGACCGGTTTCTCGGAACCAAACTCGGTCGTAAGTCGGATGGTAGGTGTATATCTCTTTTCTTTCAACAAACCAGCCATATCCCACCAAGGCAGGTTGGCCCAAAAAGAAAAAAACAAAAGATTCTCTTTTTAACTTCAGTACTGTATACAGGAGAAGTGGTTACTAGCCCTGCCTCGGTGGGGGACGGCCGACATGATAAAAAAAAATTGTGTATATATATATCTATATATATAATATGTAAGAATGTGTTTGAGAGGATGTCCTGGCATATGAATAATGAGAGAAAATTAACTATTTTCTCTTATTTAGCTTTGTCTTTCTACCACAGATATTCCAAGGAATTCAATGACTTCATTAGCAAGTGCCTTGTGAAGGACCCAGCTCTTAGACCAAGTGCTGTGGAACTTCTGCAGGTAAAATGTTTTAAATTTGGGCTTTGTTTAGTAAAATATTACATAAAGGCATAAGGAAAGAGTATTTTGTTTGAAACTGGTTAGATTTTTGCTTTGTAAGTTTTGTTCACATTTGCTTTTTTGGGGAGTTATTAAAAATTACTCCCAATGGTCATGACAGGACTTGAGGTATTTGCTTAAAAATGCATTATTTTCTATTTGCATATTTCACCATGTTTTCAGTATTTGCAAGAGCAGTTTAGGAAATCTGGCATAAATTGTAAATGAAAGACTGGATGCATGTACAGTATTTTCGTTATTTCTCTTATGTATTGTTTTTTTAAAATTTGATCTTCAAACTGTTCATCTTTATAATTTTATTTCAGCATCCATTCATCAGCAAAGATTTAGATGTGAAGCCCATCCGCGATCTTCTCTTGGAGTACAAAGCTGAAATTGTGGATGAGGAGGTGTATGAGGATGGAGATGTGAGTATTGATGATGTAACAGTAGTTGTTTTGCACCACTTGTCTAATTGATGCTTATTAAATTAAAACATTTGAATTTTCTGTGCCTTCTAGTAGTAGTATTAACTGATATGTCATACATTAATATAGTGATAAGAAAGTGTACTGTAGGACAAAAATACAGAAAATTAATTCTATAATCTTGCTTCTATCAGATTTTCAGGGAATGAGTTATTTTTTGATGTAAGTGGTCATTACCTATAGAATGAAATAGGAGGTCCAAGGGAAGATTGGTGGAGGCATGTCAAGATGTTACTAACTAGGCTCTTAATCGGTGACAGTCACTTGGTGAAATCACTCGCATATTCTTGAGACTTTCACAATATACTGTTATAATGTGGATTTAACCTTATTGCCTTTTGTCACTTGCCTTGACAGATTTAGGCCTTTATAGAGATGTCATTAAAGTTAAATTACTGACACTAGCATGCGTAATAAACATAATATGTGGGGGTGAAGGAATATTTTAAATCCTCTGTTATGGTGTACACTTCGCTGTATAAAAAAAAAAAATTCTCATGTTTGACTTTGACTTTATTACTTGATGTAATTGTCATTTTTTTTTTTTGTTGGAGGCTTGATACAGTTTTTGAATCACTATGCAGATGGGGAAGGGTGGAAGGTACATATTTAGTTAAATAATATACGATGTACAGCTATCAAAAGGTCAAGTAATGGAAATGATGTTAAAGCAAAACTTAAAAAACAAAATATCAGGATTTGAGCAATGTAGGGTGTTCAGGTGATTTGAACTAAAAGTTCACATATTCAGGTGGCTTGAGCAAAAAGTAGGGTGTGTTTAGGTGGTTTGGGCAAAAAGTATTGCGTGTTCAGGTGGTTTGAACATTTTAAGAGAAAATATAAAGTAACGTAATGGCTGAAAATATATGAAGTAAGCAAAACAAATTGGAAGAAGGAAGATCAAATATAGAGTTGGAAGGACAGATAATTAAAAAAAGATTTGCAGCATGAGTGATAAACCTTGTTTGTTGTATTTTTTAAAAGTACAGTGGACCCCCGACTTATGAACAGCCCCCAACTCGAGCAATTATGTAAGTGTATTTTTGTAAGTGATTCTGTAAGTGTATTTTTGGGGGTCTGAAACGGACTAATCTAATTTACAATATTCCTCATGGGAGCAGATTCGTTCGGTAATGGCACCCGAAGAGCCTTCTGGAACGAATTATTATCGTAAGTCGGGGGTCCACTGTACAAAAATTTTATGAGGAAGTATTCTGTTGAAAGAGAATTTAGAGGAATAAACAAGATTGAATGACTTTGGGCAAACTGTGTATGGGTTAACTTGCCGAATACCAAGGAATGGATTATTTAATATGATTAGTTCTTGTACATTATTAAATTCACAGTATTACTGTGTAATTTGCCTCCATATATTTTGTATGCTCATGACTGTAAAACAGTAAATTGTCAGAAGTTTGGAAATTTAATATAGTTGAGGATTTTAAATGAAATTTATGAAATGCAGACTCTTGAATTGTAGTCAGATTTTATCAAAATACGGGCGAGGCATTAAAATCTTAAATGAACAACCCTCAGATTGCATACTGGTATGTACACTCAGTTCTTATGAAGCCCCTCCATGCACTGCAATTTTTTGTAAATGTAATTGGAAAAAGTACAGCCACAATAGAATACAGTATGGCAAGACCTTCATAGTATGTGCTATTTAATTTTCATTGTAATTTTTCAGTCTCGTGTACAAAGAGTTGCACTCTATGGAGGAGCTTTATAAGAGTTGATTGTAGTATAAAATATCCAAAAAATTAAGGCTTAGCTGTTTATCTGTAGCCACAGTACTCTGTTATTCTCTTAATAAATTGTTTCTGTATCACATGCCCCAAAAAAGTTTGGCGTGCTGTTCTCTTGGTAGTATGGTAGTCTTTTTTAAATAGCTGTGTATTAGACATTATTTGGGAATGAATTAGGTTTTGTTTAGAAATCGGAAAGCTCACGGCTGATCATAGTTATGCGTTAATGTTTCACACGCACAAGGCAGTGTTTGGAACTAAAGTATATTTTAAATTAGCCATTGACTTTTTTTTTTTCTCTCTCTAAGGTATGAAAGTGCAACCAGATTGAAAATTTGTTTGTCTGTTGATATTTGATGTAAAACTTTTTGATTGTCAGTGTTAACACTTGAATGTTGATATTTCTGTGGTGACTATTGTAAATAATAGTCAGGTGATTTGAATAGTGTGTTTCCCACCATGCATTAATTTTTTCAGCATTATCACTCCTTGCAGACTTAATCTTTTGAAACTCTATTTTAAAGCAGCATTAAATACTGTACATTAATCCCTTCGATCTAAATAACAAATGTCCTGCTACATCAAATCTAGATCTTGTTTTCCTGAGTAAATAATAGTGTTAAGATTAGTGAAGGTGAAGTTTTAATTGCAAACAATACATTACTGTAAAATATGCTCACTCGTCACCTCAACTTCCCCACCCTCACGCTCGGTCACCTTAATGCGTTGGTGGGGGGTTTGTGATTTTTCTGGGGATGGAAGGGCATCTTCATTAGGAGGGGGTGCCACTCTTCTCACAGGGTTCTTACCTCAGAGCCCAGCATCTGTTTTGTCATAAATGGTGGACATTTCCTCTCCTCTAAATTTGCTCATGTTACTGGCCACTGACATGGAATGCTATATGACATGGATTGTGGAATATGAAAAATGGATTTTGAATGGTTTTGCTTGCATTGTGATCGACTTTTGTAATGTGAGATTGAGTTGCTCACGACAATAGCAAGTTGGTATTGATAGTGTAAATTTGCTACATAATGTTAGAAATAGATGTGTTTAAGGTGCTGAATAATCAAAAGATTCCAGTGCTTTGTAAATTCAGTAGTTCAACATTCTATCTCTAATTAGGTGCCATAGTTTACCTTACCACTTACTATCCACATGTGTGTCAGATGTAAATTTTTTTTCTTGCATCTGTCAGTAAGTGATCTGGTATACAGGATGAGATTTTTTAATAGTTCATTGAAATGCCAGAGGTATAGTTATAATAGTGGTAATAAATGTACTGGCATCTCTTTTTTACACTCTAAATGAATGGCATGGCATCTAGACTAAAGTCATGCCATAAACACTTAATTCCCATAATAAGACACTTGTGCTCTGTGAACCATATGCTCACATATGGCAAATATGTGTTGTATATATGAAATTAGAATTAAAATGTTGCACAGTGTTGAGTTAGTATAAAGTGAGGGGGAAAACTTTATATTCCAGACATTAGTGTCAGGCAGGGCAAGGGGTATTTATCATTGTATGTTGTAAATAGACTGGATAGTCAAGGATATTGGTGCATTATTTTATTGGTATAGATGATGATCTTTCAACAAACCGGCCATATCCCACCAAGGCAGGGTGGCCCAAAAAGAAAAACGAAAGTTTATCTTTTTAAATTTAGTAATTTATACAGGAGAACGAGTTACTAGCCTCTTGCTCCCAGCATTTTAGTCGCCTCTTACAACACGCATGGCTTACGGAGGAAGAATTCTGTTCCACTTCCCCATGGAGATAAGAGGAAATAAACAAAAACAAGAACTAGGAAGAAAATAGAAGAAAACCCAGAGGGGTATGTATATATATACTTGTACATGTACGTGTAGTGTGACCTAAGTGTAAGTAGAAGTAGCAAAATGTACCTGAAATCTTGCATATTTATGAGACAGACAAAAGACACCAGCAATCCTACCATCAGGTAAAACAATTACAGGCTTTCGTTTTACACTCACTTGGCAGGACGGTAGTACCTCCCTGGGTGGTTGCTGTCTACAAACCTACTACCTATAATTGGTATAGATATAGAAGTACAGGTCTCCCTCAACATTCACGTTTTCAACTTTCACGGGCTTCACACATTCGCGAATTCCCAACCGCCAAATTCCCAGCCACCAAATTCCCAGCCGCCAAATCATATTTAAGTTTCCCGCCACCTGCGAGTCCCTACTACCCTCCCTCCGACCCCCGCAACTGGCAGCCAGCCCTCCCACCACTCAGTGTGGTGAGTGTTTTGTTTGTTCATTATTTGCTATTAATCTACAGTATAAATAATGTAAACCCATTCATGACTGCATATTGGAATGGCTATTCGGACAGGTATTAGACGGTGACATCATGTGTTTACTCTTGAACACTGCAAAGAATTAAACATTTCTGCTACAGCTAATAATAACAATAGTAATAATAATAATAATAATAATATAATAATAATAATAATAATAATAAATATGATATAATTGAAGGAAATTGTACAAAAATACGAGGGAGTGGTTGACACATCGTCAGTGTGACTTTGTTTATGCTGGAGTGAACATTAGTCTCCCTGCTCTTCCATACATTTCACAATAATTCATTGTGTTTGGTGCTTGTAGATTGAGTGTGACTGGAGTGGTTGAGGCAGTGATTGAGGCAATGGTATTTAATAACACATGTTAATAATAATACATGTTATTAATAATAACATGTACTATTATTATTTATAACATATGTTATTAAATACCACTGCCTCAACCGCTGAATTATTGTGAAATGTTTGGAAGAGCAGGGAGACTAATGTTCACTCCAGCATAAACATAGTCACACTGACGATGTGTCAACCACTCCCTCGTATTTTTGTACAATTTCCTTCTTCAATTATATCGTATTTATTATTATTATTAATTATTATTATTATTATTATTATTATTGTTGTTATTGTTATTATTATTATTGTTATTATTAGCAATAGCAGAAATGTTCGATTCTTTGCTGTGTTCAAGAGTAAACACATGATGTCACCGTCTAATACCTTTCCTAATAGCCATTCCAATATGCAGTCATGAATGGGTTTACATTATTTATACTGTAGTTTAATAGCAAATAATGAACAAACAAAACTCACCACACTGAGTGGTGGGAGGGCTGGCTGCCAGTTGCGGGGGTCGG